GATAGATATATATATAGATATATATAGATATATATAGATATATCTATATATATCTATATATATATCTATATATATAGATATAGATATATATAGAGACCCACAGAACGTGCATCTCTTGTCGCACTTAGTGACCTCTCACTGTCTTTGTTTCTCTCTTATCATCCATGTTGGGAGACACAACAGTTTCTTAAACTACTATCAGCAGGATATTTGCTGAAAAAGCAGGAACTGCACACTGTTTAGATTGCAAAGAAGATTGAGTTCATCCTAGAAATTGAGCCAAAACAGTTGATGGGTCTCAGTGAGGAGCAAGGTCTGAACTGTGTTACAAAAGTTATAATATTTTGCATTAATTCTCAATCTCTCTGAATAAGAGATAAGCATCTGCTTGGTGCCTAATTTGTACTGTTATACAAAAACATCATCACCTCCTTGGATCTTTGACATCCATTACCCAAAAGAATGAGACGACATACAATTTAAAATAACACACTTTGCATAAAGATTAAAGCAAGACTGCTTGACTGAATGTTCCTTGCTAATGTTGCCACAATTGGCCAATTTACTCTTTGGAAGATTTAAATATAGATCTTTTGGGGAACTGAATTGAACAATGTTTTCAGTCTGTAATTGCTGTAATTTACATATCAGAAGATCAGTAAACAAACCATACTTTAAGAGAAGCTGCTGCCTTTAAAACTGAAGTAAACTAAAAGCTGCCAGAGCAAAAAAAGAGTAAACAGCGTGTCTTGCTAGTATTAAATATTAAAATATATATTGTGATGTGGGGGACTCCAAACCAACAGGCCCACAATCTGTCTGGTTCCCAACTCGTGGCTTATGAAGTGCTGATTTTAGAAACACCACCACCACCACCACCATCACCACATGCTCACCATCTCTTCAAGCTGGATCTGGATCTGTCTGTGCACTTCAGCCATCTGAAAGAGCACCTCCCCTGCAGAGAGAAGACAAAGAAAAGAAAGAAAATAAACAAAAAGAGGGAGGGGAGGTGGGGCGGAGAGAGAAAAGAGAAGAGTGATATTAAATCTTTCCAATGTCTGTGAGAGCTACATACATCGTGCAAAAAGAGACCATGCAGCCACACAGAACAGATGAGAGACAGGTGTGTGGTGTCGAGGGAGGAGGAGGAGGAGGAGGGGGCAATGGACAAGATGAAACATCTGTCATGATACTGACGAAGCAGACGAAACTCGTAACAGTGACGAAATCAAAAGAAAGTTACAGAAATATGCAGCACGGACAGAATGAATGAAAAATGTAATCAAGAAATCTACTGAATATTTTAAATAGTGAAACCAATGGTTTTTCATATTACCAAGAGCTTACAACACTACTGCTAATAAACACACAGGAACAGCATGATAAAAGAAAATCTTTATAAATCAAGTATTTTATCTTTGCACTAAGACATGTGCTGTGCTACAACAGAACAGGGGGAAAAACACCAAAAAGCAGAACTCAGAAAGAAGTCAAAAACTAAAGAAATTAAAGAAAAAACACAAAAGATAAGTAGAAAGTAAAAGGATGATTCATGCAGCCAGGGACGTGCGTGTTGTTTTAAGATACCTACATGCTGCCTCTTCTGAATATGCAATGCATTGTAAAAAAAGGAACAAAAAAGATCTAGTTTGAGCAAAGAACAGAGGGATAGAGACCTGGAGAGACAGTGACAGATCAAACTACCCCAAGAAAATGAGACACACGACAGGTTTTCACACAGAAAAACATTCAGACAGGCAGTTAATCAGACTCTCCACTCGTTAACACACCATTCTCTGCAGTGCATACTGTTTTGATCTGATAGTCCAAACCCACACTGGATTTTAAGGGTCATGCTGATATTTGAAATTTGAAAAAAACAACAAAAAACAATATTATAACAATATTTAGTTCTTTCCTTTGTTTTCTTCTTTCTTTATATAAATGCAAGATAAACAATCATTTTTGATGAAGATACCTCAAATTTAGTTGTTAAAAAGTTGCGAGTAGAGCCTGACTAATACACTGATGAAATATATATATAGAGATATGTTCAAAAACATTTTTAAAAAGGTATCACCATTACCTAATTATAATTATTTTATTTCATTCTTCTATAACAAAATTTCAGAAAAATGTTTGTTTTGGTTATGTGTTTGTCAGGCAAATGTTCAATGTATCATTAGAAATTCTCAGATATCAGTATCAGCCTCAAAAATCCAAGTACTGAAAGTAAGATATTTCAGTTAAACAGTGAACCTTACCATCAAATATGACAGTAAAACATAAGTAATATAATATTATAACTGAACTTAAGAATTAATACATTATTACAAATAATATATATATATATATGTTAATATATATATATAACAATTTCTTATCATCTACCAACATATATGACAATATTAATACAGTTTATCCGAGGTATGATAACATCAGGACATAACACTGATCAGTTTATCAGTCAGGCTCCGCTATCTATCTTGAATAAATAAATTGGAAAATAGACCATGGGACATTCCTGAGAAAAGCCCACAGTAAAATATTCTACAGCTGCAGCACCACCACGAAGCACTGAGAGCCAATTTATTCTAAATGATGCCACTAATATGCATTAACGGCACTCATCTGCCTCCTGCATAATGTATGCTGACATCAGATAATGTATGTCGCTCTGACACGAAGGAGCGCTGAGTGGGCGAGCAGGTGTGTGGGTGGGTGTTGTTGGACCTGTGGACACACCAGACAGTGGACAGTCAGAGGGGACACTGCGAGAGTGGGCTGTCTGAACAGGATTAATGGGCTTAATGGAAGTGCTGCGGTCATGCAGACGAGACTCAGTTGGAGAAGAAGGGATTTAGGAAAGGTTGGAGCAGGAGGTGGAGGGCAGAGGTGGAAAGCAAATAAGTGTATATTTACTTAAGTACTGGACTTTGACGTGCTGGTACTTAACTTGAGTATATCCACTACATTTCAGGTGGATTAAATGTCATTTTTCCTCCAATACATTTATCTGATGGATAAAGTTACTTTGTAGATCAACATTTAAAAAAACTGAATTAGCGCTTCTTTCTTTTTCTTCCTTCATTAGTCTGCCTCTCTGTACTGTACCTTATATACTTCCTTCTGTGGTTCTTATACATTGCATCCTTCAGTTACAGTCCTACTCTTCTTCACTGTCAGTGCTCTTTTACTTTTGATATTTTAGTTTACTTTTAGAGCTCAATGCACTGCAGCTTTATAAAACACATGTAGGTAGACAAATACAAGCAACCACAATTCTATTCTCAACAATTTTAAAGATTATGCATTTGTCGCAGTGTTTGACAGGGTATATATAATTTGAGATGTCAAATAAACCAAATTAGGACATCTTTACCAATGCAAAGTGAGAAAACACAACCAAATGCAAAACTGTTTCAAGGGACACTAAGATGTGCTGCACATGACTAGGAAATGCCTGTTGCTGTTCAGTGGTTTGAGACACATGCAGTTAATGAAGTTAGCTATCCATAAGTGGTGTTGGAAAATTATTTTCAAGCATGTGCATCACTTTTTAGTGGAAACGTGTGTTGTCAAATTAGTGAAGATGTTTTTCTTAATTTGCTTGTCTTATGTTTTTTTAAGTTGCAGTATGTTGAGCTCTAAGGGCCACCGTAAATTTAACTGCTAGTTGTCACTAAGATTTGGAATAAAAAAACTGGTGTGCGAGATCATCCTGACTGCCCTTGAACTTTTCACAGAAACACAGATGTCACACATATATATGGGGGTAAACTGGGTAGGAAAACGGCTTTTGACAAATAAGAAGAAAGAGGCACATGCTAGTTTTTGTCCAGAGTCTAACACAATGCTCTCGTCTCCAACACGCCACCTCGCTTTATAGCCACCCATCTGCTTATGAAAATGCAGTGACAGCTATAACACTGTAGAAGTGTTTGACTGCCGCAGGACAGGGCATTAGGAGCAGCGAGGCAGATAAATGCACTGGCGTGTACTTTCAGACTCTCCTTTGATTCTTGGAGGGCGCCCAACACACACTCCATCCCATCCATTAATAAACAGCCACAGCACCTCTCACACACGCACATGCACACACGCACACACACACAGACACAATTACACAGATGTTGATCTCAGCCAGAGGGGCATCAGAAAACGGCACTTTATAAAAACAAATTCAAGAGGATGGATTTCATAGGATATTGGTTTACAGAAAATAATGATCAGGTTGGAGAGGTTGTTTCACTTAACTGTGGTTCATGTTCATTTATTACTATTGTTTTTATTTGAGTTTGTTTTTTTCCTAATATCTCAGAATATTAGTCATTTTTTACTACATATTAGCAGACTATATCCAAACAAAATGAAACTTCTGAACGTTGTGCAATGTCAAAAATGTACGGACGCCGAGAACAGCCAATTTTTTTTTAATGCGTAAAGTTCATCACAAGAAAATGACTTGTTTTTTCAAGATCATGGGATAGTTAAGGAGAATTCAAAAGTGAATGTCCAGTTTATATGATCACACCTGATTTCAGCCTTCAAGATTACTTGATCACAAGTCAACTTGTCGTGATCTTGAGATAACGGCATAAAAATAATAATAATTGTAAGCACGGCTGCTTTCAGCTTCCATAAAAATGTGAAAATTAATACAATTAGTAACAACAAAACAAGGAGATATATTAAAACATGTAAAGCAAGTCAAACAAGGGACATTCAAAAATCCTATGAACATTAACTATAAACTAACCAATGTATCTAAGTAGAGTTAGTGCTATGATAATAAAGCACTATCTTTTTTGTAAGACTGCCATCATCATGGAAAGCATGACAACCAATTTTATCATGTTACCGTCTGAAACCAAACCTTTACTCACTCACACACACACACACACACACACAAAGCCTTATGGATCAAAGTCTTACTTTTTTGTAACCTTACACTGTGTACACTCCCTCTACAGATCAGTTACTGTACAACGAGAGAGAGAATGAGAGAGAGACACCTGTTCTGCCAATATGAAGCCGTTCAGCTGGGAATGAAATATAGCCGTAGGATTAACTACACTCCACACCAGGCTTGCCTCTATAAAATGGAGCCTTGGTCATTATTTCTGGCTTTTATAACAGATGTGTTCATCTATAGTCTAATTAAGGTTATTCTTCATTGATCCCTGTAGGGAAACTTGTTCTCCTCCTCCAGTAGGTCAGGGTTCAGGTACAGAACAGCACCGTGAGAGCTTCAGTGTCTCTTCACTTCACACTTCAGTAGAGCAGATGGTCAGTCTGAGGTCACCCTGCCACCAACTGCTAAAGCCATAAATATATAGTTTGACTTTTATTTTTTTCCAGTCTAATTCTAGTTGGGCCATCATTTTAGTTATGATAACAATATTCAGTAGTAACTTCTGGGAACCCACACATATTTCTCCTGTACGACGTCCTTTTTAGCTCTTTTTCTATGTTGCGTGGTGCAGTACACAGTTAGAAATGATGGTTAGAAATACAAAGGAGAGATCTAATTTTTATAAGGCTGACTCATCCTTTAAAATCATCATTCTGTAAGAGAAACTGCTGTAAACAGCCAACAGGTCAAAGAGTGCCAGTCTGTATCAGTATGCCACAGCAAATTACTTTTTCATCACCTGGAAGATTCCCAAATTCCTGGATGTTCTCGTTTCATTGTACCCATCGAATCCAAAAACCTCTCCACCATGTATTGTGAAATACTGGACTTCTACCCGCCAGAATTAAGCTGCTTACTGATAATCAGAGCAGATCACAACATCTGAGGCTTAGAGGGGAGTAAAGCACATTGTTGTCCGCACCCAGCGTGCATGGGTCCGGATCAATTAAAGAATACAAAAATGCTGCTTTTGTTTGCGAATTCTCGTGAATCAATAGTGAAGCATCCCTACCACTGAAAGCTGTTCACAGAATCTACAA